GAAGCCTTCGTTCTGGGAAAGGAGTGGGATGGGGCTGGGAGCGGCAGGGAGGGGCAGAAAGACTGCAGTCTGGAAGGAAGAGGGCAAAGTCATGCCAGCCTCTGGGATTTGCCCGGTTGAGTGCCCCTGCAGGATGCTGGGGCTTGGAAGAAGACACAGTGACCAGAATTTCTGGCTTTGGGAAGAAGGTGAGGGGAAATGGTCCAAAACAAGGTCTAAAACTCTCTCTCTCTCTCTCTCTCTCTCTCTCTCTCTCTCTCTCTCTCTCTCTCTCTCTCTCTCTCACACACACACACACACACACACCGGTGAAATATATCCCAACCTCAGGGGTGGGAGGGAGAGGGACAGACCAGGCAGGGAGCAATTCCATACAGAGGCACAGAATGGGAGAGAGGAAACCGTTAATTCTTTAAGTAACTGAGAACAATGGCTCGGGGAACTGGAGTGACTCAGGTTTGATCAGAGGGGAGGATCTGGGTCTCCACCACCCAAATCACCAGTCTGAGGCATTTGGGGCTGAATGAATATCTCAGGACATTAGCAGCAGGAGGAGGAAGAAGAGCTCACCGGTCGAGGAGTCAGTTTATATGGGGGTACAGGTTGGACCAGATGGGGCATCAGTCCACAATGGGGACTGATCAGAAAAGAATCATTCTGCATAGGAGATGTCCGAGCTACGTTGGATGAAGGTGGGGCTATCAGTCTAAATGAGTGGTCAATCCAGGGAAAATTCCTCCTTTTTGAGAGGTTCGGCACATTAAGCAAATCTGCAGTCTGAAGATCTATGGTAAAACTCAGTTCTGCTGTGCACTCCCTATACCACCCCTGGCAAATCACTTAAAACTGCGCGGGCCTCAGTTTCCTCATCTGTAAAATCAGACGCTTAGATCAGATGAGTCGATCAAGAAGCACTCCCAAAGCAGCCCCAGCTAAGGGCCAGGTACTCACCAAAGGGAGATAACCCCTACCCTCGGGCCAGTTCCCAATCTATGACCCTGTGGAGCCAGAAGAGATGCACAGTCACGTGCAGTGAGGAATTCCGTCTATATTTATCATCAATTTGTAATGGGGGAGGCTCAGTCCAGAGAAGGGACCCCCACCACGGTCAGTTCACAAGGAGGGGGCTGCAAAGGGCTGAGGCAGGAAGATGGGCAGGGAGGGTCAATAATAAGAGGCCCCTGGGTCAACTGCTATAGAAACTCCATCTAGAAGGGGAGGGGCGTCAGTGGATAGGTCCGCACGGGGAATCCAGAATATGGGGGGCGGATGGAGGGATCAAACAGCAAAATGGGTCACTAACACGGAGGATCGCTGGGGGTGTCAGTCCATGAAGTGGGTGTCTGACATGGGGATGAGTCCGCTTGGGGGGTCGGTCCGGGGGGAGGGGGGACTGCGAAGCTCAAAGTCAAGATCTGGGGCCGAGGCTCACCTTGATCGGGGCCATGGCTGCAGGTGCGCTGCGCAGGGTCCGGACCGACGCGGCAGGGAAGGTCTGAGCCGCCCGGGCAGCTCGCGACGCCGCTTTAAGAGCCGGCCCAGCGCGGCGCCCGAGGGCGAGCAGCCGGGCCAGCCTCATCCCCGCCCGGCTCTGCGTAGGCCCGCCCCTGGATGAAGCCCCGCCCCTGCGGCACTCCTCATTTGCATGAAGGAGCAGGGCCGAGAGACTGCGAGCCACTCAGCAACTGGGAAGAGAGGGGGAGGGGAGGGGCGGGCACCTCCGCGAGCCAACCAGAGCCGGCGGCTGGGGCGGCGTGAGGGGGGCGGTCCCGAGCCTCATTGGCGAAGTGCTGAAGGGGGCCGGGGACGAACCACTGTGGGGCTCGCCACTCATTAGTCTGGCTGCACCGTTCTTTCTCTCCAGCTTGTCAGCGTGTGATTGACATGTGGCGTGGAAGGAGGCCGGGAGGGCCCGGCGTTTGAATGCGCACTCCTGTGCAATGACACGCTTAGCGCAGTGGCTCTTGCCAGCCTCCTAACCCCTGCTCAGACTTGCCATGGCGCCCTCTCTCAGCTGACAGCCTCAACCTGAGCCCGTGCGCACATAACAAGAGCCCCCTCTCCTCTCTCTTTCTAGGTTCACGTCACCCAGGTGCCCTGTGCCCCCTTCTCCTCCTTCACCCCCATCTCACGTGGTGTTGTGGTCCTTCTCCAAGCCAAGCCATCCCATCCGGTCCAATCCATCTCCTCCAGAATCTGGTCCCTCCGCACCCCGACTCTTGTCACTTACCTGTCTGTGCCCGTTGCCCCGCTACCTACAAGCACAACCGTGGCTTCCCCACCCTCTCTTGATCCTTCCATCCCTGCCAGCTATCTTTCTATCTCTCTCCTTCGAGCCTTCTACGTTGGGTGCCTCCGCTTCTTTCTGTTACGACAGCCTGTCTGCCTCAGGTCTCTGCCCACTCCAGTCCATCCAAATTGATCTTCCTAAAGTTCAGGTCAGAAGATGTCACACACACACACACACACACACACACACACACACACACACACACAACCCCCAATGGTTTCCCGTGGCCTCCAAGAGCAAATACAAAATCCTCAAAACCTTTCATAACCTAGAACCCGCCCACCTTTCCAGTCCTCTCAGACTAACCCCAGTTAATTCTGTCTATAGCTTCTGTACTTTTTTTTTTTTTTTTTGGTGAGGCACTTGGACTTAAGTGGTTTGCCCAGGGTCACACAGCTAGTGAGTGGGAAGGGTCTGAGGCCATATTTGAACTCAGGTCCTCCTGACTCCAGGGCTGGTTCTCTATTCACAATACCACATCTCTGTTCCTTGTCTATAGCTTCTTTGTTTATATGTGGTATCGCCCATAGATTCTTTGTGAAAATATTTATTAAGCATCTACTATGTGCCAGGAACTGTGCTAAGCACTGGACATATAAAGTAAGGCAAAAGACAGTGCCTGCCCTCGAGAAGTTCCCAGTCTAATGGGGGAATACAGAAAACAAAAGATAAATTGGAGATAAGCAAGGGGTGGGACTTTAGCTGGGGCGTGAAAGCCAGTGGAGGCGGAGGTGAGGAGAGAAGCATTTCAGACATGGATGACAGATAGTGGAAATTCTCTGAGTCAGCTGACGGAGGGTCTCCTTCAAGGCCAGCGTCCCTAGATCAAAGAAGGTCTGGGAGTGAGGTGTGAGAAAGGGAGGAGGGGCAGGCCGTGAAGGGCTTTGAATACCAAACAGAGGACTTTGTATCTGCTCCTGGAGGCAACAGGGAGCCACGTGCTCAGCCCAGTGCTTCCTGACCCCATTGGGGGTTTTCTTGGCAAAGATACCAGAGTGGTTTGCCACTCCCTTCTCCAGCTCATTTCACAAATGAGGAAACTGAGGCAAACAGGGTTAGGTGTCTAGCTCAGCTAGGAAATGTCTGAGGCTTGATTAGAACTGGTCTTTTTTTTAAATTTTTATTAATTTATTTTGATTTATCAACAATCACTTCCATATGCTTTTGAGTTGAAAATTTTTCTCCCCCTTCCTCTCCCCCACTCTCCACAAGACAGCACACAATCTGACATAGGCTTTACATTTACATACCCATTAAACATATTTTCACATTAGTGAAATTGTAAGTAAAAATTAAAACCAATAGGAGGAACCATCAGAAAGATGAAACAAAACTAAACAGAAGAGAAAAATAAGTGATAGCGATTCGACTTCCATAGTTCTTTCTTTGGATATGGACAGCATTTTCCATCCCGAGGCCTCTGGAGATGTCTTAGATCCTCATAATGCTTAGAAGGGTTCAGTTTAACAATCTTAGTCATTGCATAACGTGGCTGTTATTGAGTACAAAGTCCTCTTAGTTCTGCTCACTTCACTCAGCATCAGACCATACAAGTCTTTCCAGATTTTTCTGAAGTCAGCCTGTTCATCATTTCTTGTAGCACAATGGCATTCCATTACATTCATATACCACAACTTGCTCAGCCATTCCCCAATGGATGGGCATCCTCTCAATTTCCAATTCTTTGCCACCACAAAAAGAGCTGCTATGAAAATTTTTGTACATGTGGGTCCTTTTCCCATTTATTTGATCTCTTTGGGATATAGCCCCAGAAGTGCTATTGCTGGATCAAAGGGTATGCACATTTTTGTAGCCCTTTGGGCATAGTTCCAAATTATTCTCCAAAATGGTTAGATCATTTCACAACTCCACCAATAATGTATTAACGTAGAACTGGTCTTCTTGACTACAGGCCCCGCGAGTTATCCACTGCGCCCCCTAGCGTCCCCTTTAATAATAGCACCTTCCTCCTACGGTTGCAAGGATTCAATAAGGCCATATTTGCTGAGACTTGTTAAAGACCTCAGTTTTGAAAGGCCAAGGCCTCCCACCGCATCCTGGGCCATCTCCAGTTGTCCTGATCTATAACTTCTCACTGGCCCCTGATGACTCAGGAGAACGTGAGGCTGGTGACTTTGCACAGCCCTGCCTCACAAATCCAGTTCACTTACATGTCATATGTTCCTTTTAGAGAAGGACAAACAGCAAAGCCAGCAATGTAAACGCTAGCTCTTATTATGACTTATCCCATTTGGTCCTCATCCCTGAGAACCAGGCCCATTATCATTCCAATTTTATAGATGAGGAAACCGAGATTGGGACAGGCTGGGCAACTGGCCGAAAGGGAAAGTGTCAAGACAACTTTCCGCTGGGTTCCCCCGCACATTCTCCACTGAGCCACCTAGCGGCACACACGTGTAGTTGCGCAGAAATGCACGTGCATGAGTGCAAATGCCGGGAAAGGCGTATAAGAACGCATGCGCGCACTGCCGACCTACGCTTGGTACCGCCCTCTTGCAGCATCAGGAAGCTTAGCCTCGGGCTGCAGCGAGGATGCGCATGCGCATCTGGCTCTAACTGTGTTATTTGCATTTAGGGGCGGGAAAACGACAAGTTTCCGGAACTAAAAGCTGCGGGGCAGCTGCGGCTCCCGCAACATCCTGTTTGGGGAGGGGTGCCCCGCCTCTTCCGTAAGTGGCCAGGGGGAGGAAAGGGGTTCTCGAACGGGAGGGGGAAGTAGCGAGAGGAGACGGAAGTGACGAGTGTGGGTCGCAGACCCGGTTCCGGTTCCGGTTCGGATGCGCGCGCAGGCCGGGATGAAGCTCTTGACCCACAACTTGCTGAGCTCCCACGTGCGTGGGGTGGGGCCCCGGGGCTTCCCGCTGCGTATCCAGGTACTCGAGGCGGAGTGGGGCGGGGTGGGGGGGAAAGGGCCCATGCCCGGCCGGCAGCCCACGTGACAAGCCCGGTGTGTCCCCCACTCTCAGGCCACCGAGATCCGCGTGAGCCCCGTGGACTTCAATCCGGACTTCGTGACGCGCATGATCCCCAAGATGGAGTGGGCGGCGCTGGTGGAAGCGGCCGAGAGCGTGAGGGCCCACGCACGTCCCCTCCCCCCGTGTGCCCCTCCCCCACCCCGCCCCGAGCCTTGAGATGGTGTTGAGTAAAGCGCTTGGTCGGTCCACAAGCACACACTGAGAGACGATCCTCGGGTGGCTCAGTGTCGGGAGGCCCCGAGTTCAAGTCCGGACCGGCCCTGCACGGAATATTTGTCCAGGCTTTAGCCGCGGTGGTTTGTGCTTATCTCCAAGTGGATGCTGGGTAGAGAAGGGTAAAAACTCCGAGGTCAGGGGGCAGTGGACAGAGCGGACCCCCGAGGCCCCATCCGCCAAGTGAGGGAGGGCTCTAAGGGAAAGAACTGGACCCCGCTGGCGGCCCAAAGGCACTTGGGGACCCCATGCTGAAGTGCTGGACAGGGCCGAGCCCCGGTGCCTCCAGAGTCTGGCAAACAGCAGGTGTTTAATAAATGCTGGGCAGTAGCGGGTCAGACCTTGCTCTAGGAAGGGCAGAGGCCAGGCTGGACGGCCCAGGGCCCCAGGAGAAAGGTTTCTCGCGGAGACTGGGAAATGTCTCAGCAGCCTCTGGGTTTGGCATCAGAGGAGTTAACAATGTGAACATCCGGGGGTCCTGGGCAGGACAGAGCCCCGGGCCTGTAATCCAAGCTGCCTTTGTCCCTTCCTACAGCTGGGACACCTGTCTGAGCTGCCCAGGCAGCTGGAGGAGGGCTACGAGAAGGATGAAGACTTTCTGAGGAAGGTGCACCACGTCCTGTTAGAGGTGAGGGTCCTAGGCAGGCCGGGGCACTGCGGCTCTCACCCTTCTCCCGGCCTCTGGGTGGCATTTGCACTTGCCAGGCCCAGCCCTGCCATGCCCTCATCTTGTGGTCATCCTGCAGGTGGAGGTGGTCGAGGGCACTTTGCAGTGCCCAGAATCTGGACGCGTGTTCCCCATCAGCCGTGGGATCCCCAACATGCTGCTGAGTGATGAAGAGGCAGCATCCTAGGTTGCAGAGCTTTATTCCCCCCCCCCCACTTTGTGTCCATCTTTTATTATCATTCATCCAGGATGAGCTTGTCATCCTCCCGTCCACAGTCCCCAGACCACACAGAGCCCTGGGGGGATGGTATGATTGCTGTTATATTTTTTTTCCTCATTAAAGGTTCAAAACTGAACGCATGTTTTTTTTTTCTTTGCAGCAAATATACATTAAAATAGAGTCTCTGTACAGCTCTGTTCCCCCACTCAGTCCTGGGAGGAGGCGGGCCCAGGCCCTACCCCAGTGGCCCCTGCTCCTCCCTCAGTCCAAACCCTAAAAATAAATATAGTGTTATTGCTATGCAGGGGATAGAGTAGATGCTGTGGCCCCCCCCCCCCAGGGGTCTGGGAATCATCCCTTGGCCCAGCTCCAGGGACAGGTTGGGGAGGGGAAGAGAGGAGCCAGCTCTGATTTATTGCTTTAAAGGGGGAGAAGGGTTGGGGTTTGGGGGGCAGTAATAATGCCCAGTATAAATGGCAAGGAGGGAAGGGTTTGGGGTACTTGCTCTCCAGCCCCGGCTCTGCTAGAGGGGGGAGCCAGGCCCCTGGGGGTGGGCCAAGCAGCAGCAAAAAGCATTAACCGAAGGGGAAGCTGGGGCCCCCGACCCTTCCCTCCCTGAGATCTCTTGCCTCTCCCCTGGTACCCCAGTCTCCCCAGCAGCCCCCCTTTATGGCTTCCACAAGGCCCCCCCCAATCCGGGGGTAGATTATGGCTTGCGAGGGGCAGTGCTTCCCTCTACTGGTTGGAGCAGCACCACCTAGCCTCGCTCCTCTAGGTGCCTATGGAAGGGGATAGGGTGGGCATGGGCCTGGTTCCCATGGGCTGTTAACACTGCCCTGGCACTGCCAGCAGGCTGTGGGCATTGCCCATGCCCTCCCCTGGGCTTCTTCTGGGGCTCAACCCCCTCCCCCCCCCACCCCTGCCGGTCCTGCCAGCACCTCCCCCACACACACATGTCCACTAGAGCAACAGCCCTCCCCGCATCAGTCCATCATGGCCTCCAGCATCTCCAGGAAAAGCTTGTGCATGGGGACCTTCCCCTCCAGCTTCACCCCATAGAAATGGGCCAACACTTTGCCCGCCGTCTGGCGGAGGAGGGGCAGGGTGAGCAGCAGCCGTCCAGCCCGGCGGCGCTCGGCCCCCCCACCGGGGCCCCCGCCAGCCCTCCCAGCTTCATACTCCAGCAAGGCTTCATGCAAGGCTTCTCGCAGCTGCTCCACGGCCTCAGCATCTTCTATGTGCACTGAGTCTGGGGGAGAGGAGGGAAGGGCTCAGCTCAGGGGGCAGCCAGCCTGCCCTGCCCCTCTCCAGGGAGCCCACCCTGCTTTGTATCTAGGGGGAAGCTGAGAATCCAATGAAATAGTGTGGGCCCAACACAGAAGAGCCAGCTAGGACTGGGCCCAACTGGATTCTGCATGCCACAGGATAACTCAGTGAAGAGAGCTCACCAGACCCAGGTTCAAATCCTGGCTGGTCCACTTAGTCCGTGGCTCAGGGAATGTCACTTCTCTTTTCCGTGCCTCACCGTCTCCTTTGTAAGAAGACGATGCCCGAGGTCCCTTCCAGCTCTGACCTCAGTGAGCAAGCTGACAAGCTGAGCGGGGCCCAGAAGGTCCGGGCTCCCCTCCTCTCTCTTGTGGGAGCCCCTGCACGCTCACCTATCACCCAGGCTCAAGGGCTGCTGGGGGTACCATGAGACACCACCCCGGAACAAAGCCCACCCCTGGCTGCTCCCACCCCTACACTCCCATCCCCGGAACATGTCTCACCGGAGTTGGCCAAAGCTAAGGCCTTGAGCAGCACGTATTCCTCCCGTTCCAGACGAAGGGCCTGGAGCCGGCGAACCAGCTGCAGGAGTGCGGCCCCCAGCTCGCCCAGCCCGGCTGCCCGGGCTCCCTCCTCATCCAGAACCAGGTCCTCAGCAAAGGCCAGCTCATCCCGCAGGGGCAGCGAGCGCTGGGCCACCCCCAACACCAACACCTCCATCCACACACTCTGCAATACCGACATCTGGTCCGACAGGGACAGGGCAGAGAAGCCTGCAATCAGGGCGAGGAAACTGAGTCAGGAGGCCCTGCCCAGTGTGAGGCTCAGACACCCTGGCCACACCCCCCTCACCTGGGATGCTCTTAGCCCAGCTGATGGTGACCACAATCTCCCGGTCGAAAAGGTCGCACAGTGTAGCCACAGCTGGCAGGTGCCCGTCAGGGCCTGCTGGGTCAGGCATTGCATATAGTTTCTCCGGCTCTGCGACAAGCAGGTGGGACACGAGGGCATTCACAGGGGCTGCAGGGACAGAGAGGCAGGGGTGTAGTCACATGTGGGGCCTGCAGAGCCCTCCGCACCGGGACCAGGCTTGCCCCAGACCCAGGCAAGCGGCTTCTCACCTGTCTTCCGAGTCCCCCCTGGAGGTGCCAGAGGAGCAGAGGGGAAGGGTCCTGGAAAGGGCAGGGGCTCTACCTCAGGCCGACGCTTGTATTTCTGCCGTCCGCCTCGGACCCGGTCTAAACGAACCCCTGAAAAAGGGAGAGGTGGGGCAGAGTAGGTTCAGTATAACGAGTCCACCTCAGCCCAGACTACCAAGGTCTCTCCCAGGCAGGAGCCAAGCCTTCCCTCCCTCAGGCCGGGGTCTCCTCTCTACTCACTCACCTTCCTTGAGCATGCCCACCCGCAGGCACTTGGTGAAGCGGCAGGCTTGGCAGGCCTTCCGCCGCCGCTTGGTGATCTCACACTCATTGGAGGCCGGGCAGCTGTACTCAATGCTCCCTGGCAAGGTAAGAGATGAGGTTCACAGCAGGCAGCAGCCCCCCATGAACCCAGGAGAAACTTCTGCCAACTTCCACAGGGCTCTAATCTGCATGGGGCAGGGGCCACAGTGAGGGAGGCTGCAGCCACATGGCAAAGATGATGAGGACCCTGAATTCATAGTCAGATCCCCTGAGTTCAAGTCATAGCTGACTTTCAGTAGCTACAGGATGATCTCAGGGAATTCCCTTTGTCTCCCAGCACGCTTCTCGATCCTAAGATCCCTTCAAGATCTGCCCTGACACTAGCGATCAAGGAGAAAGTCATCTCTCCCAGAAGGGTCTTTCCCATCTTCACCAAAATGACTTTTTCTAGACCATAAGCCCTGAGAGGACAAGGGCTTCAGATGTGTGCACCCTACTTTGTCACAGACTGAGAGAATCATACAATTAGTGCTAGGAAGGATGTCAGATCCTCATTTGAAGAAACTGAGGCCCAGAAGGTCAAGGCCAAGGTCGCACAGTGAGCAGCAGGGCTAGGATTCATTGCATGTTGGCCCTGGCTTCCAACCCACCCACTACTGGGAACCCAGAAGAGCCCAAGACCGTGAAATACTGGGGTCATGCTCACCCTGGATGGTCCTCTTGAAGAAGGCTTTGCACGCCTCACAGGAGGCCACGCCATAGTGGTAGCCAGAAGCCACGTCCCCACACACCAGGCAGAGGCGCTTGGGCAGTGAGCTCAGCACCAGCTTGCCCCCACCACCACCGCTGCCCCTCTCACCCAGCCCTGTGCCCTCCCCTTCCTCATCCTCTTCCCTGCCCATGGGGAGTCGTCGCCGAGTAGGGGCAGGGCCAGGAGGCCGGGCAGGCGGCGGTTCAGGCTCAGCCTCGGAGGAGCCCCGAGGACTGTCTGGGCTGGCAGGCTCTGCCTTGATATAGAGTGGCTCTGACCCTCGTTCCCGGCCAGACATGGCGCTGCTGATCACCTGGTGGAAGAGGGAGAAAAAGGGGAAATGGGTGAGTGAGGGCCCTAACCCAGGGAGGCCTGACTTAGAGATCAAAAGATACCTGGGGGAAACAAAGTGGAGGGAAAACAGTAATGGGAGAAGTACAGGTGCCCTTTGTCACTGGGATAGAGGCCCTGCAGGGGCCTGGCCACCTGAGGAGCAAAGTGTGGACTTATCTCACCAGACCACAGAATTATAAACTGTCAGAGCTGGGAGGACCCTCAGAAATTGCAGGAGCTAGAAAGACCTCTATTTTATAACTGGGGAAGGGAAATGATTTGCCGGATATGTATGGGGCCAGAGCCTGGATTAGCAGCCAAGGTCTCCTCCCCTCCAGCCCAGGGTTCAAGCCATCACTAAGCCTCCAGGATGCCTCCAGCTGGCCCGGAGTGGTAAGAGGCTCCAGGAGGAGAAGGGGGAGCCATCCATCCTGGTTGCCCAACAGCTAGGCACAGAGCCAGCACCTGGGGGGGGAGGAAGAAAGGAGGCAGGGAGCAGAGTCCAGAGGAATTTTATTCCCAGAAAGAGATAGGCCCTATGCTGGGACCAGGGAAACAGGCTGGGGGGAGGGGGGCAGCAGGAGAAAAGTCTCAAGAAACTAACTGGCCCCCCATTCTTGGATCCCAGAAAGTAAGTGAGGAGCATCCATGGCCCTATGTGTAAGTAATCTCGAGCCCCAGATTAAAGTTACAAGCCGGCGACCTTCAGCACCCAACCGGCTGCCCGGGCCCCCCCCCCCCGTATTCATAGGTGCTCCCTGGCTATTGCCCACACCTGGCCTCCTGGAAGGCAGGGCGGCCGAGGCGCAACATTAGCGCACCTTTCACCTCCTCCATCGGACGGTGGGGACCCCCTCCCCGCCCCCACCCCAGGGGCACGAACTTCCCTCCCTTCCCCCGAAGGTCCTGCGCACTCACCTGCCCCCCCCGCTCACCTGGCGAGTACGCCGGCGGGGGGGGGGAGGGGGAGGGGCGGGGCCTTGCTCTTCCTCCTATAACACCCCCCCAGTCCCCCCTCCGCCACGGCCAACTCCCGGAGTTTTGGAGGGGTTACAAACTTGCTGCCCCCCCCACCCGCCAGCCATGACCCCTGACCCAGAAAGCCCGCGCAGCCTCGGGAAGGGGCACCCGCCCACGCGGGCCCGAGGCCCCCACGTGTCTCCCGGGGCCGCGCGGCCTCGGCCCGGGCGCCCCGCGACGGCGGGAGCCCGGACTGCCACACATGGCCGCGGGCCCTAGGCCCGGCCCTGCCCGCCCGGCCCCCGCCCGGCCCCGGACCTGGGGCTCCGCAGCAGCGGCGACGACGGCGGCGGCGGCGGCAGCAGCAGCAGCGGCGGCAGCGGCAGCAGCAGCGGCGGCCGGCCCGGCATGGGGGGCCCCGCGGCGCCGGGGCTGCGCGGTGCTGGACGGAAGCCGCCCGGCCCGGGCCCCGCCTCCTCCGCCGCCGCCTCCGCCGCGTCCCGGCCCAGCCCGGCCCGGCCCGTCGCTCACTCGGCGCCACCGGCGGCTTGTAGGACACAAAAGGACATCGCGGCCGCTTCCTACTCGGCTTCCTCCAGCTGACAGGGGGGGCGGGGCCAGCCCGGCGCGTATGCAAAGCAGGGGGCCGGGGGCGGGGCTGGCCCGGCGCGTATGCAAAGCAGCATTCTCAGCACGCGGCGGGGAGCGGACTGGGCGGTGCTTATGCAAAGCCGAGATGGGAGGAGTGGAGCGGCCCCGGAGCGTACGCAAAACAACACAGTGGGCGGAACCGAGGGGCGCCTGGGCGGACATGGAAATGTCCTCATGGAAATAAGGCGCGTGGAAATCTGCCGTGGGAGTGAGCGCACGCGCTCGCGGGACAGCCAGAAACCCCTTCGCGCCCTGCCAGCTCCGCCTCACGTGTGGCTGCGGTAAAACGGAGGCGTTTGCGTACCCGTTCGTAACTAGATGCGGGACGTGGGAGCCAAACTAAAGAGGCGGTGGCGAGGGGGTGGGGCCTTGGTATGACGTTGTTTGGGTGGAGTCAGAGGGGAGCGCAGAGGCTGTCTCCTTCGCCTCCCACGTATGCAAATGAGGCTGCGGCCTCGCGCGCGGACGAGCCTCCTGGGGGCGGGACCGGCGCCTTATATGGCACAGAGGGGGGGCGGAGGCGAAAGTCACTCAAGGTCGCAGGGCGGCAGGACAGCGCACCGGAGGGGGCGGAGCCCGCAGGGGCTCACAGGCGCCCAAGGTCACTGCGGTGACCGTTCAAGGTCGCGGGGCGGGGCGTCGCTGTCACGAGGCACTAGGAACGACCCCCCCTCCACTTTTCCCGCCCCGCAAGCGTCCCACGCAGGCGCAGTCACCCAGCTGGATAGAGCAGGGGGCGGAGCGCCTTTATTTATCGGGGGGAACGGAGTCCTGGGGGCGGGGCCAGCGCCCGGCGGGGCGGGGTTCCCGTGGGGGGCCACGAGGTGCTCAGGTGCACTTGCGACTCTTTAGGTTCGTGAGCAGCTGTTCCACGTGCCGCCGGAGCTGCTGGGTCAGCTTGTGGTCTTTCCCTATGCCCCTGCTGTAACCTGGGCGGGGATAAGGAGGCGGGATGGAGGGCGCGCAGGAGGGTACCTGCCCTGCACCCGCCCGTCCCCACAGCTCCTTTCTCGCCGAGGTCGCCCCTTGTCCGGGTCTCAGTTTCCCCAATCCGCTCTTTGGCTCGGTCCGGACCGGGGCTTTCCGCCGCGTACACCTCGGCGCCCTTCCTGCACTTGAAAGATTGCCCAGGCACTCCAAGCTAAAGGACGTGCCCTGGTCCCGCAGCTCCTACGCATGGCTGGAGCAGCACTTGAACCCAGATCTGACGCCTGAGCAGGCTAGCCCTGTCCGCCACGGCCACCTTGCTTTTCCACCCATTTTCTACCCGCCGGCGTCTCGGGGATGTAGTGGAGATGTAGGAATGTACGTTGGAGAGGGGCAAGACCCCTATAGGTGACCTCCCCGCCCCTCTCCTGAACCCCACCTCCATGGACCTTCCTCCGCGCTTAGTGGTTTCATCCACCCCCGCCCTTGTCCCGAAGTCAGGTTATCCCCCGGGGCGCTCACTATGGAGGCTCTTGGTAAGGATTTCCAGCGCCTCCTCCTCCATGAGGTTGGCCAGAGGCAGGGGCAGCTGGGAATGAAAGGGAAAAATAGCTGCTAGGGCGCAAGTTTCAGGGAGAAGCTTCCCAGACTCCGCCAGAGAGGGGAGAATCGCCAGCCAGACCCACTCCCAGAGTCCCAGCCCCGAGCAGCTCGCAGCCTGCAACCCGCACGCACTTGGTTCTGTAGTTCAGCCCAGTAGGCACGGTGCGCAGTTTCACGCAGTTCCACGTACTGTTGGTCAGATGACTCTAGGAGGGTGGGGTTGAGGGGAGGCGGTGAGAGAGTAATTATAGTCATCACATAGACCCTTCGGGAGGCCTTGGACCCCGCGTCCAGCCCATTGAGGGGCTTGGGGTGGTCGCTAAAGGGATCATATCTTTTCCCCTAGCCCAGGAGTGCCGGGCCTCTTTCCCCTCCAGGGACTTGGATTAGTGCTAAAGGGGACGGGTCCCTCCCCCTAGACCTTCAGAGGACCCTCCTGGTTCTCCCGCCTGGGGCCTTGGCGAGACGCCCAGCAGGACGCATCCCTCCCCAGCCCGGACCGACCAGGGTATTTGCTCCTATCGACAAACTCTCGGTTTCCCCGCACAGCAGTCAGGATCCGGCGCGGTTGCGGGGAGCTCATGATTCCGTCGAGCGGGGCGCTAAGCGACGCGCGGCTAAAGTCGATTTCGTCCTCATCCTCTTCCGCTCCGTTACTTTGCGTCCCCCAGCTATGGGGCGCAACCCTGCTCGAGTTGGAGTCGACGCTGCTGTCCCGTTCCCTACTCGGCTTGCCTTCTTGCTTTGGTTGGGCCGCGCCTGCCACCGACCCAAGCTTCCGGACTTCCCTTCGGGTTGCAGGGCTTTCCTCCGGAGACATTTGGGAACCTACCGACTCCTACCGACGGAAGGAGAAGAGGGAGTCACGGGGCTAGGGAGGACTGAGGGGAAGGAGCGGGAGCCACGAACCTCTGCTTCATTCCTGGGAGGTCGCTCCATCCCACCCCTCCCCTCTTTCTAAAGGACCTAGAGCACATTTCGGCCGCCTTCCCTGGTGAGGTGGCCCAGGGTCCGTGAGCGAGTTCGAGGGGTAGGGCAGCGAGGAAGATTTTGCAGAGGACCCCGAGGAACGATGATGCTAGGTGAAGGGCCCCGAGGAACAGAAAGGAAATGGTAGAAAGGTTGGTTTGGAGATTGCGGAGGAACTGGAGACTGGGGCCCGAGCAGGCTGCAAGTTGGCTGCGGAGATGGGGAGGTGGGGGGCGCGGGTTTGAGGTCCTGGAGTCCAGGGAGCTCCTGGAAGCCGGTGGTCCCAAGTGAAACCTTACTCCGTTCGAGTCCTTGAGAGAGCAAAAGCCCAGGATCGAGTCCTCCAGGGTCGCTTTGCCCGCCTGAACAGAAGTTTGGCTTTTGCTTTGGTCCTGTGATTGGACTTTCGCCGGGAAATGGGAGTCTTGGTTCTCCATCCCTGCTCCCCAACGGGCAGAGCCAGTAGAACAACTGATCTCTGAGGGTCGTGCTCTCAGGAAGTGAGGCAGGGGTGGGGGTGGGGGCGGGAAGAGACGTTGGGATTGAGTCACGAGGTGGGAGTTCGGACCCTACCGCTCAAAGGCCATTCTCCCTCTGCAAGGCTTCCGGGATCAGAAACTGCCGTACCAGCGGGGCCCCGGGAGGCAATCTAGCCCACCCCCCTGTCATTGTTGATGTTTAGCTGTGGCCCACTCGGTGACCCCATTGGGGGTTTTCTTGGCAAAGATACTGGAGTGGTTTGCCTTTTCCTTTTACAAATGAGGAAACAGGGTTACGTGACTTGGCCAGGGTCACACAGTAAGTAAGGCATAGTTAAGTGCCTGATGCTTGAATTGGACTCAGGAGTATTCCAAGCCCAGTGCTCTATCCAGTGCTACTGGTTGGCTTTCCCCCATCATACAGATGACAAAACTGAGGAGTGGGGATCAAAAACCAGACCGAGAAAACCAGTCACTTAAACCAAAGGAGACTTCTCTCACTTAACTAGTGCCTCTTTATTGCCCGAGGTCACATAGGTCAAGGAAGGTGTGAGATTTGAACCGAGGTCCTCTGAGTGATCCGTCGAATCCAAGCCGCTTGTGAGCTTTAGTCTCCCCGAACCCCCGAGGGACCCCATCCAGAGCCACAGCCCAGCGCACACGCCCCACCCCACCCCTGACCCGTCCTAGGGCCCCTAGAGGTAGGAGAGACGGAAGACAAAAGGAAGCGGCCAGAAGCCTTCTTTTTTATTGAGCCAGGCTAGGAAGCCCAGGCGTGGGGACCTAAGGAAAGGAGACAGGCAGGAGAGCTTTTAGAGAAGGAGGAGCCAGAATCGGGAGCCCCAGTTCCCAGGATGCCCCCATGGGGAATGGGAGCTCTTTGGCTGAACGAAAACCGGGAGGGTGGAGAGAGAAGCAGGGCAGAACGAGGGAAGCCTGAAACAAGGATCCGTGGGCGGGAGAGGGCAGTGCCGGCCAGTCCTCCCCATGCCCAGCCCTGGACTACGCGAGATCCTTGTTTGGGGGGCGGCCGGAGTTCCGAGGCCGGGCGGGTTTCCTGGGCTGCTTGAGGCCGGCTTGGAGGCTGCGGGGGAGTACATCACCCCGATCGCTCTGCGTGTCCGACGACTCGTCTATGAAAGCGAAGTTCTCTCCAGGGTAATCCAAGGGCGCAGAAACAGAGGTTGTGAGCGGCGAAGAAGGTGCCTCTACCTTCTCCTGGCTCTGCGGCCTCGGTTCAAGCTTGGCAGGGGGCGCCTGGGGTGGTCCGGAGCTTGGCTTCTCTGGCAGTGGCGGCCGGTGCGTCATCCGCGCTGTCACGCCGCCTGTCCAGCTGGCTGCGTGAGCGGTAAGGCCGCCCATCTGCGGGGCGAAAAGAGTGAAGGACGGGGTGCAACCGGAATGTCTCACATCGCGGAGGGGGGGGCGGGGATTAAACAGTCTGCGCCTGGGGGACTTCCAAGCGTTTTAAGCATCCTATCTGAACCTCCATACCGAAGTCCTCCAGGCATTTGAAGGCGGGATTAGAACCCACTCCTCCAGAGTCTCAGTGCGAGGTCTGGTGAGACCATGGCTAACTCTGCTCAGTTTCCGCTGTCTTATGTTGGGGAGGTAGGTGATAAACCAGACTGGTGTGCTCCCCCCTACCCCTAGCCAGGGTTGCTGTGAGGAAGAAATGTTTTGAAAACAAAGCTCTAGAGGAGGAGATGGGGGGGTGGGGGTGGGGAGAAGAGTGATTATTAGCGCGTGAGAGTGGGTGAGGTCTCCCGTGACACTAACAAGTTCCCGAGAGCCCTGGTGGCGCCTCCTAGGAATCCCTGCTGCCTTGGGACCCCCAGGCGAGTACCCTGCACACCGAAAGGCCAGGCGGGGGCGATGTGGGTGTACCTCTGTTTGGGTATGGGAGGGAGGTCGAAGACGCAAAGCGTCTCCTCGCCCGCCCCGTCAGGGAGAGCAGCCTCCTACCTCAGCCCGAGTGCGGCGCGACACGACCCGGAGCCAGTTCCCTATCATGGTGAGGATGGAGGCGAAGTAGGCGAGGCCCATCAGAATCCAGAACCAGACAATGGGCTGGTAGGCCAAGAACTCCTGCTCAGGGTTCGCGCCTGGGGGCAGCCGTCGGAGTTGGGGTCGGGCCGGGCCGAAGCCGCTGCGGACCGGCGGCTCTCCTCCCCTGCCCCTCGCCCCCAGGGCGCGAACCTGGTCGAGCTTCCGCTCCCCTGCCCGCCACCGGCCCTGCCACCATCTGTCCACGGCTCCGGGTACGAACAGCCGGGTCCCTCCCTCCCTGGCTCGGGCCTCTCACCCACCGGCCACGAAGTCCCCGAAGCCCACGGTGGTGAGCGTCACGATGATGAAGTAGAGGGCCTCCAGAGTACTCCAGCCCTCGGTGTAGCGGAACACGAACATGGGCACCAGAACGAAGAGAAGACAGCCAGCCAGGAGGAAGAGCAGCGCGGAGAGTGAGCGGACCATAGCCGGCTGGACCTGCCACTTCTGGGGGCGGGGGAGGGGGCGTGGTACAGAGAGAGCCCGGCGCGAGTCAGCCTGGGACCAGAGGCTTCGAGTCCGTTCGATTAGACGGCCCCTAGGCCAGCCCAGAGAGGGAAGAGCTGGCCATCGCCCAAGATAAGAGAATCTTAGAGTCCTCATTTTGTTATGAATAACCCCAACTCCCCTTTCTCGCGGACTTTCAGGTCTCTAAAGCGCTTTCCTCACAACTACCCCCATTTTACAGATAAAGAACCTGAGACTCAAAGGAGCTGAGGGCTCGCCAATTGGGGGGTGGCACATCCACGTTAGGTCAGGCTCCGACACCCTCTGGGATAGGGATGCGGAGGAAGCCATGTGGGGACCTGACAGGGCCCCAAACACAGGGCCGCTCACCAAGAAGATGGCTTCCACGTGGCCAATGCCCCGGCGCAGGGTAGAGCCCAGCTTGTCACCGACCCCTGCCAACAGCATCCCGAAAAGTGGGATCCCCACCAGCGCATAGAAGATGCAGAAAAGGCGAGCCTCGTCCGTGTGCAGAACCATATTACCATAGCCTGGACAAAAGTGAGGATCAGCCCAGGGTCCGGGCCTGTCTCACCGAGTCACCTCCTCAGTGCCAGCAACTAAGGTCTGGGAGGAGGAGACAACCTGGACACAGGCCACTGCCCTTTACCCTTGGGAAAATCCCAACCAGCGGAGACTAGCCCTGAGGAGGTGCAGGAAGCTACCCCGGGGAGTAAGGACTAGGGCCAGGAAGGTGGGGAGCAGTCTGCACCAGGAATTAGAGGTATTCAGGAGACTTCCTCTAATTTTGTCCCTACTTTAATTAGCCCCAGCGAAGGTAGAGGAGACGATTGGCCCCAGTAAAGAAGACAGGTGCATAGAGAGAGTCAGGGGGCTGCTTGGCCCTTGACAGGAAGAAAGAGCCCCTGAAGAACCTGGGCTCAGGCCTCTTAAGTGCCCTTTCCCTCTTCCCTTCCTCTCCTCCCCTACTGTTCCAGACCCTGGCTCTGCTGGTGATCTATCACCCCAGTGACCCTCCCCACACCACCCCTGCCCTGCACACCGATGGTGGTGACAATAGTGCCAGCGAAGAAGAAGGCACTACCCAGATTCCAGGCTGAGCGGGAGATGTTGGTGACGTAGTCCCCAGGGTCTGCACCCATGGCCAGGTCATTGGCCACCTGCTACAGGATGGAAAGGAAGGGATTAAAGGCTCGCCAACATGCCCTATCCCCTGCCGAGTCCACTGGAGTCTGACTCCCCTGCTTTCTGAGCTTCTCCAAACCAGACCCTGCCTCTCCTAAACTTAGGAGATGGATGAGCGCTTAGAGCTGTCCCGGTCCAGCCTGAGGGAAGGGATTTGAGGGGATCTTAGACCTGGTAGCACCCAATCATTTCTGCTAAGCCAATCTCCCATAAGACCAGCTGGTCCCCTTCAAAGCCTACCTCTCCTTCCCTCATAGCTCCTCCCAGGTTCACACACTTAGCTTCTCCCCCCAGAGCTTTGACTGCTGCCCATCCCTCCTAGCTCTTCCCGTTTGAAGCGGGCCACTCCAGCCCCAGCCTCACTCGTCCTGTCAACAGTGGCTCAGCAGCCACTTCACTCAGAGACTTCCTACCCCCGAAATCCAGAAGGATTCCACCCCCATCTCCAGGCTCTGCTCCTCAGCAGTTTTTCACGATAAAATTTCCATTGCAATGAGGAAAATGGGTCACTTCTCTCTGTGGTCTGTGTAGAAAGCCCAGGTCCTGGCCTCTTGGAGAACAGCGTCAGCACTCCAGAGAGATTCTTCTGACAGCAGATCCCTACCCCTGACCCAGCGACACTTCCCAACACACACATACCTTTTTCCACCAAAGCTGCTCCACTCTCCAGAATGGACTGGATTTTCTCAGTCCCCTGTGGGTGCATCTTGACTCTAGTATTCCTCAAGCCCAGAGGAATGGGGGAGGGGGGAAGGAGTTGGGCATAGATTTTTTTAAAAATCATTTATTACAGTTTAATGTTAGTTTTAAATGACTGAGTCTAAAATTAAATCAAAGGGAAGAAACCTCCTTGGTAGCACCCCCACTTCCCAGCCCTCTCCTCCAAGCAGAGACCTGTTGAGGTCTCCCTGGGGTCTCAGCCTAACACCTAATGTATTGGTAAGTTGTGACAAAGCTGTGGGGGGAGGGAGAAGGAGAAGAAGACTTCCCCCTAGGGTCTAGCTGTGCCTTCCTGACTGATGCATTTTGTTTTCAAACCCTCCCCCACCCCTTTCCTGGGTCCCTGCTCCCCTTTTCTTCCTCAGCACATTTCCATCCATTGATCGTTTGGGTGTGTTAGAAGATAAATAGGAGAACTTTCCTTATTCAGCTCCCACCTCTGAGCAGGGGAATGGCCTCCCCCAACCCATACCCCTAACTGAGTTCCCAGAAAGAGGTCTTGTGGTCGACTGTCACTCCAAAGTTTCACTGAGAATATGCAGGCCTCATTCAAAAATCCTGGGGCCCTTGTGAGCCCCTAGTCTCCTCCCATGAGCACCACAGCATGGCATGAGCCAGGCAGTGGTCTCCCCACCTCATACCCCCTCCCAATTCCCCCCCATTCCCCCCCACCCACCTCACCTCTATAAAAGCCTGCAGCTCAGTCAGGTTAACGCAAGGGTGTGCCTGAAGGAACTTTTCTCGGGTCCTTTCCAAATTCATTTGAGTTTGCTGTTCCTTTGGCAGCTCCAATGCCATGAACACTAGGGCTCCTGACATCAGGTAAAGCAGCACCAGAATCAGCAGTGCCAGGAGGGTGGTGGGTTTCATGGCACAGCCTGAAGACGTGCAGATGTTCTGCTGGTAGCTCCGGGTTTGCCCCAAGTCTTCTGGTCAGAGTGGTGACAAGCATGGACACTGAGGACAGGGAGGGGGTATTACAGCAGAATCTGCCTGATGCCAACTACGCCCCTTGCGAAAAAGCAATTCCCCCAACTTCCCTGTCTATGCTCATTCCTTGCCCCCACGTTTCCCTCTTGGAGCCCCCCTTTTGAATTTGCCCTGTGTTTCTGCTGTTCTTCATCCCCATGCTGACCTTCCATAGATGTCCCAGTGTCCACACCCCATTAGTCCTGGGTCCTCAGCTCACCCACTCCTGGGACTGATCTCGTCTCTCTGAGCTGTACTCATTGCTAATCTGTGCCCAATTCCGCTGCCTCTCTTCTCCCTTCTCCTCACCTGCATCATTCCCCCTTCCCTTACCTCCTCTGCCACTTTCATCAGCCCTGTTCTTGGGGCTCCGTTATAGGAGGAGGGGGAGGGGAAAAGAGGAGATGGAAAGGGGGGAGAAGAAAGAGGAAATAGATTGGGAGAAGGAGCCAGACAAGCTGGAGGGAGAGGGGCAGAGGGGGAGGATAAGGTTGACAGCAAGGAAGAGGTGGAGGGAGGAGGAGGAAGAGAATGGGAGATGAAGAGGAAAGGAAAGAGTGAAGGGCTGAATGGAGAGACACCGAGAAGGGGAGAGGGAGGGAGGCTGAGACCAAAGGCGTTAAGCAGAGCGGAAAAGGAGGAATGCAGCAGGAGAGAGTGATGAAGAGCTGCAGAAGAGGCGGCTCCGAGGGAGGGACAGAGAAACCTCGGGGAGCCAGGGGGAGAGGGAGGAGTCCATTGCTGAGAGACGAGCCCTCCAAGCCCCCAGCCCCAAGGCTTCCTCCTTCGGCTGCCGCCACACCTGGCCCTGGCCCCACCCTGCTCCGTGTCTGGCTGCAACATCCTCCCGCAGACAGAGCCGGGCGCCCACTTGGCCAGGGGCGGGGGAGGGGTACGGGAGCCTGGCCGAGTTGGGAACTTGGTCCGAGAGACCCCTCTGGCCCTGCGCCCCAACCCTAACGGCGGGTGCAGAACTCCTCCTCTCCAGGGGCACGGCGCATAAACACCCCGCCCCCGCACCCCCATCTCAGTCCCAGGGTTTCAAGGAACAGCCGCAGGGCGGAGTCCAGCAATGCAGGAGGCGCCCCCCGGGAGGGAAAGGAGTCAAGAGCTCCCGCACAGCCAGAACCTTCGACCCCCCGTGTGGGAGGAGGGTGGGAAAAAGGTTCTGCTGGTCCCAGTTACTGGAAGGCTCCCGGGGGAGGGCGTGACAGCTCCCGAGGCAGCCTGAGGAACCCACAGATGAGCTTGTCGGGAGACCGCAGTGACCGCAGGAGCTGCCCCACAGACAGCGCCCCCGCTGGAGACCCAAGCCCACGGACCATTGGAGGTGGAGACAGACGGTTAAACGGAACACTCCGGCGCACACGCGTCCACGCACGTCCCACACTCCACCTTCTCGTGGGCTCATCCACACAGTCACCGATTGTCCACTCCAATACTCACGCCACACACGTTGAGATTCACCCAGCTAGCCATTCGCCATTCTCCCGCACCACACACATACACACAAAATATGGTCACCGTCCCTCCCGCCCCACCCCACTGCCAACGCTCACGTTCACACGGAGACACACGCGGTCTCCTGTGACCCTCAGCACCATCCCTTGGAGCTGGAGACCAACCTGTGAACCCTGGACCGTCCCTGGCCCCCTCCTCCTGGCAGTCAGCCCCTTCTCCTGCCCCCGCCTGCCGCCTCGTTGCCTTGCAGACGCGTCTCGAAGTCCCAACTGTGTGCAGCAGCGGCGGGGGCGTGGGGAAACCGGGGCTGAGATTGGGACACCTAGAGAGAAAGCACCCTCCTCCAACATGGGAACATGCTAGCTAAACGTGACTAACCTTTTCTGAGCTAGCCAACGGCAGACCCCCACTTCCCCACCTTTCCTGCCCCCGCCCTCCATGCCTTCTCCAGCACTACTACATTCCATCGTTGTCGTCCCTACACCCCACACCGCCGTCAGGATTTAGCCCCTTCCTTACCTCGATCAGGCCCCAGGCCAGCTATCCTACAGCTATGCCCGGCTCAACAGTGAACAAACCAGGACAGGCCCGACTCCCGGAGGAGAGGGGTCAGGAAAGTGCCCAAAGGAAATAAGCCAGTGTGCTCAGCAGGCACCACCCAGCCAATCTTCAGGATTCCTGCTAATCTCCCTGGGCCCTTGGGGACGGACAAACCCCTCTGTTTAGCATTTTCAGCAGGGCCTTGGCCTAAGCACAGGGTGGTGCAGCAGGGACCAAGCTAGGAGGGGAGTACCCAATGAACACCGGAGGGGCTTGGCTCTCTGGCTCTCTGCACTGCCATCATTTCCCAGAAGAGAGCACCTGAGGGGAGGGAGACAGGGCCAGCGGCCAGGCCAGGCTGGGATGGACGCCTCATCCTCCCAGCGGGTGACCTCACCTGCACCATAGGTTGTGCAAGGTAGTGTTTTCTTGGGGTTAATATGTGAGTAACGACCAAAGCGTCAGCTCCACTTTGCAGATGGCATTTGACCCTGAGTCTTCAGGCTCCAAACTCCACCCTCTTCCCACTGCCACCAATCTGCTACCCAACATTTCTGTGGGTTGCCTGCACCCGCCCCTCCATCTGAGGCCTCATCCCTTTTCTCCCTGCCCCTGGCTCCTTCTGGAAGCTCTTTTGTCCAATTCCCTTAATTTGGAGAGGCTAATGGTTCTTTAGCTGCTCAGCCCTGAAGAACCAACCCTCCAAGGTCTAGACAGGCCCTGATTTCAGTGTCCTCATTGGGGACAATCAACCCCCCACCACCACCACTACTATGGAGCCCTGCAGATTGACAAGGACCTGGAACTCCTCTGAAGCAGAGTAATCTATCCTTCCTCAGAAGGGGAGATTCAAACCAGGGCCCACTTTAGTGAAGAGGCCCACCCACTACCTCCCTTTGACCCTCTTTACTCCTGGGCCCTCTAAATTCCAGGAAGCCGAGACAGGGAAGGATCTGCAACCCTCCCCCACAACAGGCCCTTGTTCCAAGGATAAGAAGGAATCACTGGAGATCCAGAGATGGGGGGGGGGAAGAGCAGGGAGAAGACCCTGACTTGGGAGTCAGGGTCACTGCCAGATTCCAAGCCCAGCTTTCCTAGTTCCTGCCTTTGTGACTTTAACCCCCCCCCCTTTTAGTCTGAGTCAAGGGGGCACAAGCACCAGACCATGGCTCCAATGGGGGCACGGGCAACTGTTTATTGAGCAGCAGGCACAAGAGAGGTAGCGGGCTCCACGTGGCGGACAGTGCCACCCCCAGCAGAAGGCAGAAGCTCACTACAAGGAGCTGCAGACGGGACAGGGCAGAGGTCAGGGCTGCCACAGGGCTGCGGAAGGCAGGAAGGCAGGCAGGCAGGAGGAGAAGGCCCTGCCCACCCCCAGGAAGCAGGGAGCTCATGTCTGCGGGGTGGAGTAGAGGCTGTGGTGATGGTGACCAGCAGGCCCAGCCACCTGGGAGAAGAGGAGCGGTGTGCTTCGGCTCTGGCTGCCCCCACACCAGCCGGGCTCCCGCCCAATAGCACCGTACCAGCTGCCAGCCCCCAGGCTCCCCGACAGGCTGCAGGGAGAGACAGGGGTACTGAACACACAGGCCCCAACAAGCAACGGGATAGAAAGCAAAGCAAGATGGGACTTGGAGTTCCTCAGGCAGCCGGCCAGAGGTGCCCCAGACCAGGGAAGCTTGGATCCTCGTCCTTTATCCCAAGGTGAACGGGCAAGGGGCAGCGGGAAGGGTAGTGATGGCTGCCAAAGCAGGGAGACCAGAGGTGGCAGTGCCCCCAAAGGATGGTGTATGACAAACCCTGAGGTCCCCATGGACAAAGGCATCCTGGCCCCCCTCACATAAGGCCCTGGCAGCCACTGCAATCTCCACGGCACCCCATACCTGGTGCTCTCTCCCCGGCTATGCTCCCACGGTCCTCCCTCGTCTTCACAATGTCCAGCCCGGTCAAAGAAGTAGGAACGAGAACCGAAGGCCTGCCCGTTGATGATTCGGCTGGTGCTCTTCAGGAGGAGGCCAGAGGAGGTTAGCGGCTCCGTGCAAGCTCTCCCCACCCCCATCAGGTGCCCTCGGCCCCCACTATGGACCTTGGAGGGTGGGCAAGGGAGGAGCTTACCAAGTCCTGCGGGGGTCGGTGTACCCGAAAGAAGCCAACGAGCAGGGTGGTAGGCAGCAGCTCCCACACAAAGAGGATGAGGCCAAAGACCAGGTAACCTTTGTCCCCTAGATCATTCACCAGGTCAGCCTGCCGAGGGGGAGAGGAAAGGGACCTGTGGCGGACCGAGGACTGAGAAGGCAGACGATGCGACTGCCAAAGACAAGATTCAGAGGACAAGGAGGATCCCCAGCAGCTCACCCACCTGGTCAGAGACGTTGTACCAGTCATAATCGAAGGAGTCCAGCCGGCTGTGGGGGGCCAGCGCCAGGGCTGCCAGGTTGTAGCAGGCTCGGCTGGCATAGAGCAGGACCATGGCCCCGCCCATGGCCGCAGCCTGGCACACACTGGTCCCCTGGACACACAGAGAAGTGTGCTTACTTAAGTCGGGCTTCTTGGGTCTGACCCAGCCCCCTAACTGGTGGCTCCAGCTCTCTGCCCAGGCCCCAGTCAGCCCAGAAGCCCATGAGTCAAGCCCCTACCTTGGCCTCCAGGTAGATGCTGGTGGAAGGGGCACGCCGGGCCACCAGGCAGAGGCAGGCAGCCAGAGAGAGGGCACAGATCACGAAGAGCGAGTCGCTCACCAGTACTCGCACCAGCAGCAGGGCCCAGGGCTGTGTCCGGCGCCGACGGGACAGCACGGCACACAACACGTTCACCAGCAGGAAAAGCAGCGAGGCCCCAACGAACGCTCCCCGCACGGCCAGCCTACGGCCCACAGGCTCCGGTCAGTCCCCTCCCCGGCTCCCCCGTTACGTCAGCCACATGGATACCCCCACCCTTTGGACCTGAGCAGCTTCACGAGCTGTAGTGGCCAAGCCTCTGGGGACAGGCCTTGGCCACAAACCTGCAGGCCCCATGGGAGCCAGCAAGGACCTCAGGTGCCCTCCATGCCATGAGGAGGCCACCAGGTGGGCATCACCACTGCAAATGATAAAGCTGCCCCAATAGAGCCCCTTGTCCACCTTAGTCTCACAACCACCCTGTCTGGCTCATGGGGCAGGAATGGGAGGAATGGCCAATGACCTACCCACTCTTGGGCCTTCAGCAGGAATACTCACAGGCCCCGGCTCATCTCTGGGTGCTGCTTTGTCTTTGCCTTGAACACCACCTAGGCCACAGTGGGTAAGCGTAAATGACAGCCGTGGCTGCAGAACCCTGGAGCCACAGCGCTCCCAAGATGGTTACGTGACAGCAGGGCCACAGTAGGGGCCACGGAACTCCCAGGCTGGGCCCCTGACCCCACAGCCAGAGTAGGGGCCATAGCACTTGGGGGTGGGCTGCCCAACAATGGGGCCACTGTGGTCACAAGGCAGGCTGCCCACCTTCACCCCTTCCCTCTCCCTCAGCCCCCTCTCCTGCCCTTAATCCCAGGCATTGCTACCTGGGCAAAGTAGAGGTTCATGAGCGTGAGGGTGAAGAACTGGAGGCAAACGGGACAGCAGTAGAGCAGCCAGAAGGGGAGGGGGCCCAGGCGGTTGGCTCGAGCCGTGTCTCGGAAGTAGAAGGAGAAGAGGGTGGTGCGCAGGGCGGCCCAGAGCAGGCACAGGGCCAGGAACACCGTCTGATAGCTGAACCGCTTGTGTCCGTACAGCAACACCAGCCAGAGCTGGGCATAGACCGAGAGGAAGAGCAGGCCATACAGTGTGGTATAGGCAGCGGTCAGCCCCAGAGTCACGGCCGGGGGCAGCGCGGGCACCAGCCCCGCAGCAGGAACTAGCCCAGACAGGTTGCCCTCCATGCCAAGCAGCGGCTGCCTGGGAAGACAGGATGAATCAGACAAGACAGAGCTTAAGAAAGCTGGGCCTGGGAGGAAAGGGTAATAAAGATGGGGGCAGAGCAGGGCATGCCAGAGGGCAGCAGGGTTCAGGCTAGCTCCCTCTCCCCCGAGTCCCTGCTGCACTAAATCAGCTTCTCCTCCCTTGCAGATGAAGAGCAAAGCCTGGGATGGCTCAAACCAACTGGGGCCTGGGAGTAGAGGGAAGGGAAAGGGGTCTGGGGGCAACACTGGGTGCGCTCCTGGCTGGGCAGCCCTGGCTTTGCCACCGTTCTGGGTAATCCCTGCCCGGAGTAGACCGCGAGAAGTCCTTCCTCCCTCCAGCCTTCCCAGACAGACCTAGGCGTCCTCACCTCCCTTCCCCGGTATCAGGGATCTCTCTCTCCTGGGTCTGGGGTGTCACCCCCAGTGGGATGAGTTGGCCCACAATTCTAGGGCCCCTCTGGCCTCGGGAGTGAGTCTGTCTATCCCAGCCCGTGGGAGGGGTTGGGGGGTCTGTCACGGACTCAGGTGTCCCCCAGAGTCTTTGGGGGTCTGGAGGTCACCCCGGGCAAGGATGAGGTCTACAGTGCTCTGGCCGGGCTGTAATCTCGGGGGTCTAGGGTGTGTCTCTGCCAATGCCTCCGCCTGGGTCTCAGGGACCTGCGGGCGCCCCTCAGCGGTCCCAGGGCGCCCCCTCCCAGTGGATGTGGGGGAGGGGTCCGCTCTGCCCCCGTGGATCAGGGAGCTCTCGCCGGCAGGTCTGGGGTCTCCCTGTCAGGGGATGAAGTCTTGGGGTCTTCTGGGACCCCTACGGGTTGGGGGTCTCTCAAGCTTGAGTCCCGGGGCTCTCCTCGGTCCGCTCGTGTCGGGGTCTCTGTGGGTGGGCCCAGGGGCTCTCCCCGCCAGGGCTGCCCGGGGGTCTCGGGGGCAGGGTTCAGGGTCTCTGCCCCGGGGCTCCGGGGTGTGTGTCGCGGCCTCCCCGCAGCCCCGGGCCCTGCCTCGGGCGTCCCGTCACGTCACGACGCGTCCTGCCCCGCGCGGCCCAGGCCCCTGAGCCTCCTCGGGCTCCGGCCCGGGCCGGAGCCCCCGCGATCCGCTGTGCTCCGGGGGAGCCGGAGGTGCTGCCGGGACCGGGCTCGGGCTCCCCGGCTCCCGGGCTCCCGGCTCCCCGGCTCCGCCTCCGCCGCCTCCTCAGCCGCCTCCGCCTCCGCCTCCGCCTCCGGAGGCCGCCGCGCATGCGCTGCGCCCGGCCCTACGCAAAGTGCGCAGCGCCCCGCCCCGGCCTTGGGCTGGGAGGAGGGCGCCGGGAGTGCGCGCGCCGCCGCTGGCGTAGCCGCTTCCGGGAATGGCCTCGCGCCGCGCCGCGGTCGAGCGGGCGCCCTGGGGGAGGAGCGGCCGTCGCCATGGAGACAAGGCAGCGGCCGCACTTCTAGCCTCGGAAGCCCGCTCCGTTTCAGCCAATCCCTGCCGGCAACCCTGGCTCCGCCCCCAAACCCGGTCAAGGCCGGATCCCTCTGTGGCTCCCGAGGGGCCTGGAGCAGTGTAGTTTACTTACAGAGCTAGAGTAACGGACTTCCGCCCCAACCCAAGATGGCCGCCAGGCTCTGGCCTCCTCAGGAGTTAACCCTTTACAGACCAGTGCAGGAGGTCTCCTGGAGCGTGGCCCAGAGCTGCTGCACTTGCTGACGCGTCCAGGGCAGGAGCCTGTGATTATAGTCACAGCACGGCCTTGGGGTGCTTTTCTTTACATTAATAATCCTGATAGTAACCACGCTCTTACTTATGGGAGCTATTAATTACGCTCGTAACGCCACACTCACATCCCCATCTGTTCTCAGACTGGATTGTGGGGTCTCAGAGGAGCAGTCACTAGTGAGACCAGGTCTCTAGGGGTGACCCTGTGGGCGGACGTCCTCTGAAAATACTCATTCACGAGCCCCCACTGGCGGGCTTCCCCTTCGCACCCAGCCAGACATTTGAGGTTTGCAAAGCGCTTCATGAATATCTCAGTGTATCCTCTCTTCTTCAGTAAAGATATTTCAGTGAAATGTCCCAGCAAGAACAGGAGTCACAAAACATTCCCACAAACATCCCCGTGAGGGGAGGCACAGAACCCGTGGCCACCGAGGTAACTCACGAAGATGACATGGAAGGGTTTCTGTTTCCCCACAAGCCACAGTGTCTTAGCTAGCCCAGATTCCCCCTGTGGTGGTCTTTCATCATCTTCAGAGGCGTCCGGTGGTAAGGTAGATAGAGTCCTGGGCCTGGAGCCAAGAAGACCTGAGTTCAAATCCAGCCTCAGAAATTTACTAGCTATGTGACCCTGGGCTAGTCGCTTAACCTCAGTTTCCTCATCTATAAAATGGAGATGATAATAATAGGACCTACCTCCCAGGATGGCTGTGCCCATAGCGCAGTGCCTGGCATATAATAGGTACATAATAAGTGTTTATTCTGGGGCAGCTAGGTGGCACAGTGGATAGAGTGCCTAGCCTGGAGTCAGGAAGACCTGAATTCAAATTTGGATTCAGATACTTACTAGCTGTGTCCCTGGACAAGTCACTTAATTCCCAATACCTTCCCCCTCCCCATTAATAAATAAATGCTTATTCCCTTTCCCTTCACTGGCACTGTAGTTTTTGAGCTGGAGTCCTGCTATGTTCTTTCAGCTAGGGCAACGACCCTTAGTTTAGGATTGACCCCTTAGGAGCCTTAATTCTGAGACCTGTCAAGTCCAGGCAGGAGTAGAAGAGTTGTAGCCCATCCTTCGTGATTCAAAGCCCATTCCCTCAGTAAGTCACTCCACTTGGAGTTCTGGGCCTAGCCGACTGTCTTTCTCCACTCCCCAACCCACTCAGTTTCTAGGACCTAAGCCTCCATGACACCCCAACTGTATGCAGAAGAGATGGATGATCACAATGCTGGTCTTCCCTGTTCCACTTCCAGGTTCACAAACTCCCAAAGTCTTTCATCCAATCATTCCATACTTCCTCTCAGCCTTAAAACCCCTGAGCCTGTTTTTTGAGCTCGTGACATCATCTATCACCCTTACACCAGCCACACTATCCTTCCTTCAATATTTCAGCCCCTTGTTGAACCAACTCAGTGAACACCATGCTCTTCTCTACCCTCAGTTCCCTACTGGGGATCACATCTGGCCAAGCTCCTGCCTCCTCTGCTCCACTTCATTGGTGGGGGGGTAGGGATCACAAAACCAGGCTGATTGGGCCCATTACAAACTGACCGCATCTGATCTCACCTGAACCCTCACTGCCACAAAGCAAACCTTGTATTCTTCCCCCACCCTCCACTGGAGCCATTCCTTCTCATCCCTTTCCAGAAGCCTCCCTCTCTCTGCTCTTCAGTCTCCTCCTGGCTACCAGCTCCTTCCCAGCTACCTACAAACATGCCCAGGCCTCCCAAAGGCAGGCACCCTCACTCAGTCTGACCATCCTCTCTGCGACGGGGCCTCTTCCAGTCTGCTGACGATTTATTCACCTCCACAGGACTCTAGGGTCTAACTCCAATGACCTCCTTCTGTTCCTCTAACAAGACCACCCATCTCCAGACTCCAGACCTTTGCATTGGCTGTCCCCCATGCTCGGAACACACTCTCTCCTTCTTACCTTGGCCTTCTGGTTTCCCTGCACTTCTCAAAGCTCATTTCAAATGCAACCTTCTGCAAGGGGCCTTTCCAGGTCATCCCTGCCCACACTGTACCTTTCCTCTGGCATTACCTCGTATTCACTCTATGTGTGTCTTTCAAGTACCTGGTGGTTGCTTGGAGGCGGTCTTCTCTGGTAGACTGTAAGCTGTGAGCTCCTCTTTTTGCCTATTCTTGTCTCTCCAGCCTTTGGCACTGGTAAGTGCATCATAAATGCTTGCTGACTGACTGACTGACCTCAAATCCCACCTTCTGCAGGAGGCTTTTCCCAGTCCTAGGAGCTGCTAGTGCCGTTCCCTGAGATGAATCTTCATGTACTCTGTATATTTCTCATAGATGCCCGTTATTGACATATCTCCCCTATGAGAATGTGAAGCAGGTAGAGGAGGAGTAGCAGTAGTAGTAGATTATTATTGTTAGTGGTGATAGCGGCAGTAGCATTTTGCCTTTCTTTGTCCCCAGAATTTACAGTCTTGCATTTAGTAAGCTCAGTCATTGTCGGCTTGACAGACTGATTGGCTCAAAGCGATCAGAGCCAGCCCAGCCAGTCGATGCTCTTCAGGGTTTGGGATGCTCTAGGGCTGAGTGGCTGGACAAAGGCAGGACCTCAGTCTGTGCCCCAGAAGCCCTTTCTCAGGCTAAACGGCTTCTTCCACACAAGTGAATTACTCAAGCCTCTGACTCAGCTAAAGCTGGCGAATGCCTACTTTGCATCTGAAGGCCTTCCTCTTTATTTTTCCGAGGTCTTTCAGCCCCATGGGACTTCCTAGGGCGTACATTACAGTGGGGAGGGGGTGCTATCTCTCTGTCGCTGCTGTTAGGTCCAATCCACAATTCACAACCCCATTTGGGGTTTTCTTGGCAAAGACACTGACATGGTTTGCCATTTCCTGCTGCAGCTCATTTTACAGATGACGAAACTAAGGCAAGCAGGGTTAAGTGAGTCACCCAGGGTCACACAGCCAGGGAGTGTCTGAGGCCAGGTTTGAACCCAGGAAAATGAGATTTCCTGAGCCCAGGCCCGGCATTCTAGCCACTGCACCAGCCAGCTGGCCTATTTCATTATGAGCAGGTAGGAGGCACCACAGTGCATAGAGTGCTGAACCCAGAGTCAGGAAGACTCATCTTCCTGAATTAAAACCTGGCCTCAGATTCTTGCCAGCTGTATGATCCTGGTCGAGTCACTTAACCCTGAATTGCCTCAGTTTCCTCATCTGTAAAATGAGCTGGAGGAGATAGCAAACCACTCCTGTGTCTTTGCCAAGAAAACCCCAAATGGGGTTATGAAGAGTTAGACGCAACTGAAAACAACTGGACAATGGCGAAAATAATTATTATAGTTACATTAATGACATTGAGAACGTAAAAGGCAGTGTTGGGGAGTAGCTAGAAAGCTGGGATTGCAGTCAGAAGGGCAGGGTCCAAGTCTAGATGCTAACACAGCCTGGCTGTATGACCCTGGGCAAGTCACTGCTTGACTTCCAAGTGGTCCCCATATGATGCCCCAAGAGTATTTTAATTTAGGAACGTTGACCTAGAGCCAAAAAGGACCTCAGACCTCTTTACAGATGAGGAAAGGGAGGCCCGGGAAGGGAAGCAACTTTCCCAAGGACACCCAAGAGTCAAGTCCAGATCCTTGGACCCTGTTTGGACTCCAATCTCCATCAGTCCACTGTACCTGGCCTACAACTGCCAACCTTTTTGCAGGTTTACATTAGTAGAGAGTCCAGGAGGTCCCTTCTACTGAGGACCTCATGAGTCCCAACTAAATAATATCTATTATTATCATTAATTACTCTTCGTGACAATCATTTAGTCAGTCAACAAACAATGAAGGACCTACTGCGTGCTAGGCTCTGTCTTAAGTGTTAGAGATTCAAAAACAGACAAAAGACAGGACCTGCTCTCTGGGAGCTCACGATCCAAGAGGGACAAGCAAGTCAAGAGGTGTGAACACGATATGTAGGATGAATAAGAAGTGAGAAAGAGGCCTAAGGGCGCTGGGGAGGCATAGCTTCCTGTAGAGAGTGGGGTTTTAGTTGGGAGGTCCGAGGGTCCGGAGATGAGCCAGGGAGAGCATTTTTCAGCCAGCAAAGGGTGCATCCCCACTTTACAGAAGAGGAAACTGAGGCTTTGAGTGACACAGGTAATGTGTTGCAGGCAGGATTGGAACCCAAGTCCTTGGACTCCAAAGACAATCCCCAGACAACCACTCTTGGTTTTAAACTGAAGATGAGTAGGTTCTTGACTCAGACAGGGAAGTGAACTGAGTCATCATCCTGCAATGAAGAAAGCAGAGAAAAATAACTTCGAGACCAGCCAAGACGTCCAAGCAGGAGTGGGTGAAAAAGTGTGTGTGTGGGGGGGGGTCTAACGTTCTCCTCATGGAAACCTCTGCTTTGGGGGACAGCATCCAGGTTCAAACCTGCCTCTTCACCCCATCTAGGTGAGGTGACCTTGGGCAAGTCACTTCACCCTCCAAGGGCTTCGGTTTCCTACTCTTCACGACTGTGGGTGGGTCATTCAGAAAATTGGTTCACAAGCATTTATTAAGTGCAGGGAGAAGGGAAAGAAAAAGGTAACTGCCCTCGGGGAGCTTAGCTTCTAAAGAGGAAAACCACCACAGCCACCGCCACGAGTGGACACGAGGGGACACTGTGTCCATGGGGAGGGTTCTCAGGGGGAGGGGACTGGAGCCAGTCGGAAGGCGGCTGGGGGGGGGGGGGTAGGCCGCCACGGGGCCCCAAGGCTCCTGCAGTCTCGGCGCCCCCCCAGCCCCAGCCCTCGGTCCTCAGAGGAAGGGAGCTCAGGACCAGAGGAAGGAAGAATCAGAAGAGCCCAGAGTGGCCGAGGGGACAGTGGGGCCAGCCAGCCTGGCCCTGGCCGTGCCCCGGGGCCGGGGGTGGAGTGGGGTGGGCAGGAGGGGCCCAGGGCCGGGGCGGGGGGGGAGGGAAAAGGAGGGGCCCGGGGGAGGCCCTCCCACCTCCCTCTTCCCCCTCCTCCCGTCCTCCTCCCTCCCAGCCGGGGTGACATCGCGGGAGCTGATTGGCTCAGCTTCATGACAGTTTCTCTCACCCAGGCAACGGGGGCCGGGCTCCCAGGAAAACAGGAGGGAGGGAAGGAGGAGGAGGAGCGAGGCCAGCCCGAGTGCGGGGAGCCCCAGCGCTGCCCCCGTCAGAGACCCAGAGGAAGCGAGAAGGCCGGGGCTGCCCATCCGGGTAAGCCTCCTGCACTCACGGCCACGGCCTGGGCCAGCCCGGGCTGGGCTGGGGGGAGCCGGGGAGCGGGCTCCCAGGACTGGGAGGGAGGAGAGGAGGGAAGGAAGTCCTGGGGCTGCCCGGGGGAAGAGGAAATCGGGAGGCATGGAGGCGGAGCTGGCCTCCCCAGCCTCAGTTTCCTCCTCTGTCTAACGGGGAAAACAATCTCGGCCCCACCTCCCTCCTCGCGGAGTGGATGCGCCCCCTGCTGGTGTGGATTGCAGCCCCAGCCTTGCCCTGAATCCTTGGGAGAGGGGTCGCTCCCCATGACCCCCTTGACAGAGTTTGGGGCACGGGACTTGAGGGTGCGCGGCTTTGGGCAAGGCACGCCTTCCCCGGCCTCAGTTTTCCCCTCTGTCAAATGGGAGTAAATATCATTGAGCTGAGAGTACTGGGCAGTAGAGAGGGGAGTTCTTACCTCGGACTCATCCGTCTGTAGAGAGCTGGGCCGGAGTCCCAGACCCTTGGCCTGGAAGTCACAGGAGCTAGGCTGGACCCTCTGCTCCCCAAGTGACCTTGGAACCATACAAAGAGCTCTGGCTTTCCAGGCAGGGGACCTGAGTTCAGATCCCACCCCCAACCTTTATCTGGCCACGTGCACGAAGGATTTTAGTGATTAATTACTGTGCCAGGCAAATGAGAGGCAGTCCCTGCCCCTTTGATTAACTCCAATTTTTTCCTGTTTGTGACTCATTTCTACCTCATTCTTTGCAGGTTGTCTCCCCCATTAGACTGTAAGGTCCTTGAGGGCAGGGGCTGTTTTTTGTCTTCTTTTATTTTTTTCTGATTTTTTTATTAATTTGTTTTGATTTATCAACAATCACTTCCATAAGCTTTTGAGTTTTAAATTTTTCTCCCCCTCCTTCCCCACCTCCCTCCCCAAGACCTCTAGGTAGTCTGATATATTTTGCCTTCTTTTATATCTGGAGCTCTTAGCACAGAGCCTGGCACAGAGTAGGTGTTTAATAAATGCTTGTTGACCCCCCACACACACCCTACTGTGTGCCAGAAGGACAGCTACATGGCACAGTAGATACAGCACTGGTCCTGGAGTTAGGAAGACTGATCTTCCTGAATTAAAATCTGGCCTCAGACACTCCCTAGCTGTGTGACCCTGGGCAAGTCCCTTCATCCTGTTTGCCTCACTTTCCTCATCTGTAAAATGAGCTGGAGAAATCACTCTAGTATCTCTGCCAAGAAAACCCCAAAGTGGGGTCACGCAGAGTCAAACAATGAAAAAACTACAAGGGTACCAGAAGAACACCACTCCCTAATAGGTGCTGTCTTCCCTTACTAGTAGCTCAGTCGGTCAACAAACATTTATTAAATACCCACTGTATACCAGGTGCTGTGCCAAGATTTGGAAATACACAGGAAGACAGAAGACAGCCCCTGCCCTCCTAATCTAATGGGGAAGCAGCTCGCCAACCACTGGGTCCAAGCTGAGGGCTGTTGACAGGGTCAGTGGGAGAGGAGGCAGGAAGGGCTGGGGAGGGCTTCTTGCAGAGGGGAGCCCGAGGAGAGCTGCGGGTATGTCCTTGGCAGGAACAGTTGAGCCCACCAGAGGTAGAAGAGGGGAGGGACCTACTTGTCTGGGGCATGGCCAGAGAGACAGTGGGTCCTGCTGGGCCAGGTGAGGCCAGTGATCGGTCACACACCCTGGTGGATGGCTTCTTTGTCTTTCCCCAGGTTGGTAGCTCCTCTGGGCTAAGAACCTTTCCTTCTTGGCCTTGTACCCCCAGAGCATGGGGGCCCACTGGGTGTACTAATAGATGTTTGTTGAATTTCAGGCTGTCCCTTCACTTACTGACCTTATCTCTTTAGGATTTGGAGTGGCTCAGACTCACTGTAACAAGCAGGGCCCATCCAAATAGTGAAAGACAGCCCCTTCCCCCCTTCAACTCCAAACAGCCTTGGGGGAGAAGCAATGAAAATGGTATTCTCCCTCTTTTATGGATGGGAAACTGAGGCCTACAAAGGAGCAGGCCTTGGGGTTTCAGGCAGTAGGGCAATGGAAAGAGCCTGGGTCTGAGGAGTGGGGGTGCAACCCCATGGGCGTTCCTTGGGACACTACCTGGGTGACCTCAGACCCCACCTCCCTGGGCCTCAGTTTCCATTTCTGTCAAATGAGGGGGTTAGAGGGCACCAGGGATCCGGATCTTTTTTATGTGCTTCCATTAGTGAGGGAAGCTCCCCACCCACTGTGGGACCGATGTCTGGCCATCTATAACAACATTTTAGAGAGAGGATAATGACTTGCCCAGAGTCACATAGCTAGTAATCATCTGGGGCAGGATTTGAACCCAAGTCTTGCCAACTCCAGGGCTAAGATTTTATCCACTGTGCCTTGTTGCCTTCTTAATGTGTTTATTATTGGGTTAGAAATAATGCTGGAGCCCAGCAAGGGGGAAGGGAACCTAGCTGGTCTTCATCAGAATTCCCTCTTCTCAGCCCTGCCCTGGCACCAGGCCGCCACTTCCTCTTCTCCCCTCCTCTGAAGACGGCTCTGGCTTTGCCCCCACCCTACCCACCTTGCCCCTCTACTCTCTTTCCTCCCCAGGCCAGACGATGCCTCCCACCCCATGAGCATGTTTCAGATCTCAGAGTTTGAGCCCAGTGAGCAGGAAAATCCCAAAGAAGACGGCTTTGCCTGTGCCCCAGGGGAGTCCAGGGGGCTGGGCAAACACAGCACCACTGCCCCCAGCCTGGCCCCAGTCAGGCCTGGACCCAGACCCGCACCTGGAGCCCACCACCATGAGGGTAGGTGCACGCCCCGAGCCTGGCTGTGATCTTGGCTTCTTTCTAGTCTAGGCTGTGGTAGGTCTAGATGGCCAATACCCCCCGGGGTGGTCAAAGCCCAGCTTCAGAACCACCCGTGTTGTACATGGGAAACTGAAGACTTTTGGGACACCTGAGAGGGAGGGGCTGTTTTTATTTCCATTTTACAGATGGGAAAACTGAGACTCAGGGTCTGCAACTACTCAGCCACCACCTTGTGAAAGAAGCCGGGTTCATTGTTCTTATCTGAGGATCTCTGCCCAGCTTGTCTGCCAGCCTCCACCTCCCTGCTGAAACGCTTCCTGACACAGTTTCATTGATTTATATTTCAAAGATACTCAATCCCCTAGTTTCAGCCTCTTTCCAGCCTCCTGAGGCACTGGGGAGGGGGCTCTGAGGAGACCCTCGGGGACTTGGAAAAGCTGTTTCTCAATGTCTAGTCTCAGAGGCACACTGGAAAGAAGGAAGGGATGGAGCCTGGACCCTCCCCAGCTTGGGAAAGCCCCCCTTGAGCTGACCCCTGTAGGACGGAGGTCCTTTTGTGATAAGTCCTGATTTAGAGTTGAAGGAGGGAGCACGCTGCCCAGCTCCCCAAGCCCCAGCATGGCCCGGTGAAGTCTTCAAGGCTTGCCCTTTCCCTCTGGGGCCCTGGGGCCCCATAAAATGAGAGCCTTTTCCTGAATGACCAGGATTAGCTCCGTTCAGATCTAAATCTAGGCTTGGTCCCCACCTCGAACACCCAAGCTGTTATTCACTGGACTAACCTTTACTTTGGGCGAGCCTCGGTGGCCTAGGACTTGCATTCCAAATAAGTGAGGTCACAGATGCCCTGGATTTGAGTGTGGGGACTAGAGGATGTCAAAAAAAAGTGTGAGCTCCCCTTCCCCTACCCCAGCACTCTGACTTGCTTAGTGAATGAATGTCAAGCTCCTTTGTAATTACTGAATTTATACAAGTTGATCCTGTCAAAATCCCATGGCATTGTCTCCAGAAGACACTTCCTTACTGCAGCAGGTGTGACCTAGGGACTAGAAGGAGGGTCTCAGGAAAGTCAGGCCCCAGGCCCATGAGCACGTTATCACTGGTGCCCTGAGGTCCTCGGAGTAGCTGACCAGCCTCACGGTGCCTTCCAAAGATGGGTCTATCATCTCATGCGTGGTCCTGCCAACCCCAGGGCCTCTGCTGTCCAGAGCCTTGAACCAATCCAAGGTTCTGAGGCCTTCCCCTTGGGTTCCTTAGACTGTCCCCACACCCCATGGCCTCCTCTAGGGCTAGAAGTCTGGGAAAGCAGGTATAAAAGTCCAAGGAGATGGAAGGGAGAGGAGCTAGGCAGCAGAGAGCCTCAGAGGCCTGGGCAGAGGAGAAGAAGGAGGGGGGAGGGAGGAAGAAGAAGGAGAAAGAGGGGGAGGGAGGAGGAAGGAGGAAGAGGGGGGAGGGAGGAAGAGGGGGAGGAAGGGAGGAGAAGGAAGGGGAAGAGGAGGAGGAGGAAGAGGATGAAAGAGGGGGAGAGAGGAGAAGGAAAGGGAAAAGGAGGAGGAAGGGAGAGTGGAGGAGGAAGGGAGAGTGGAGGAGGGAGGAGAAGGAAGGGGAAAGAGGAGGAAGGAGAGGACAGCAGGAGGAGGAGGAGGAGGAAAGGCACAGGGCAGCAGAGAGCATCCAAGGAGGAAGAGGAGGAGGAGCAGGAGGCGGGCTATCCCGGGAATCCTCTTGGAACCCAGATCTGAGATGACAGCCAAGGACAGGCTGGACACTGGCTGAGAGGAACCTCAGAGGTTCCAGAGCCCCTCCGGCAGCAGAACCCTTTCCATCAGTTTTGACCCCAAAGCCACCCTCTGGAGGCAGGCATTCTCATCCCTGGTTTATAGGGGAGGGACAAGACCAGGCCACACAGCGTCAGAGGTGAAATTGGAACTCAGGTCTTCCTTTGGTCACACCCCCCTTCTCAGCCTTACTAGATGGACAGAGAACGGCCTCCTTCCCCTGGGCCTCCCCGGTGTCCTTGCTAAGGTCTGGGGGCCAGCCCAGCCCATCCCCATCCCATGAGGTTTCCGGGCACACCGTGTGCTTGTAGCAGAGAGCAGGACTGCAAGAGCTAATGCTTTCTGTTGATCACCCCACCCACTGCCCAGCCATGACCCTCCCTTCCTTCAAAGCGGCTTTTGGAAAAACCCAGCCAGCCTGGCACGCCTCATCCAAGAATGCTCCCCGGGTCACGCTCCCAGGCAGCTCTGCTGACCCCTGCTTGGGCCTCAAGCCTCCAGCTCTTGAAGGAAGGGGGGACCCTAGTGAGGGGCAGTGGGATGGCCACTGGCCATACAGCAGGGGTCCTGGATTTAAGTCAAGTGAGGCAGCATGACACAGAGAAAAGAGGATTGGCCTTGGAATCCGGAAGACCTGGGTTCAAATCCTGCCCCTGAGACACTTAGCAGTTAGGACCCTAGGCAAGTAACCCGGTCTCAGCCTGTTTCCTCCTTGTAAAATGGGGGTGATCATAGTTAGTGCCCAAGGTCATTGTGAGGATCAAAGCAGTTTTGACTTTGGACACATCATTTAACTGACTTAGCCCTAAGTTTCCACAACTGAAAAAGGAAAAGGTTGGACCAGACAGTGTCTGAGGGGCCTTCCAGCACTCGTTCTGTGGTCCTGTAAATGACATAGAAAAATACAAATATAATAAGTAGATTTCCAACACATTTAATAATAATACCATCTTATATATCAGATATTAATCTTTTGTTTTTCTGTCACCAACACCCACCCTGCCAGAGAGCCATCCTTTATTAAATATTTTTTTGTTATTTTATTTTTAAAAAACAATGTTTTTAAGAGAGCAAGAAAAAAAATTCAGCAAAACCAAGCAACGCTTCAAAAAAAAGTTTAACCTCATATACACTGTTCCACACCCCTGGGCCCCCACCTCTGCCGAGAAGAGGGAAGGTCTTTTCTCATATCTTTTCCTCGGGGGCATCCTTGCTCCATTATTTTGTGATGGTTTTCTTTCATTTATACTGTAATCCTTTCACATGGCACTCCTGGCCCTGATCGATTTCCATGAGTCAGTGTTCTCTGTGTTCCTTATGTTTGTCATTTCTTAGAGTCATATTCCATGACATTCACATGCCCCCATTTGTCGGGCTGGGAATCCTTTGGTCTAGAGGGGCCCTTTCTTTTTGTCAGTGACCTCTTTGGGGTATGAGCTGAGCAGTGGAATCTCACTTTATTTGCATAATTTCTATATTGCTTTTCAAAATGGGTGTATCCATTCACAGCTCCACCAACAATGCATCAGCGTGCACTGTCTTCCAACATTGCCTATTCCCTTTTGTCAGTTTTGCCCGTTTTCTAGCAAAGCCTCGTGCTGTTCTCGTAGAGAAGATGGAGAGATCTGGATTTTAAGGAGAATGTGATTAGAGGGCTTCAGAACTGCTTGGATTGCCGGAATGATAGCGCTGTTGCTAATCGTTCAATGTCAGTGCCCCAGGGGGTCCCCAGTGGAATGTCCCCAGGCATCCGGGAGGGCGCTGGGCCATTTCACATTTAGTACTCCATCTTTTTGGCCTCAGGGAGCCTTTACACTCTTAAAGAGCTCTTGTTCATATGGGTTTTCTCTGTCAGTAGTCAGTGTGTTAGAAATGAAAATGTCGGGGTATTATTTGGAAAATAGTTTTGACCTTGGTGACACCCTGAAAGGTCCTTGGGGACCCCAAGGGAGTGATGAAATTCAGTAGGGTTAAATGTAAAGTCTGACCCTTGGGTACCAAAAAAAAAAAAAGCTGTACTAAGACTGAGGAGGCATCAATTAGAGAGCATATTGTCAGGAAAACAGATACAGGGGTCTGAGTGGACTCCAAGCTCAATATGAGTCAGCCGTCTGGGGCTGCAGTGGCAGGGGCACTCTCAAGTTCTCAAAGCCACTGAAAGATGTTTGTGCCCAAGCGAGGAGACGTCTGTGTCTTGGGTGTATCGGTTGGGAAGGGTTGATAGAGACCCGAACTAGGGTAGAGCCCCAGTGTGCCCTTGGAGGTGACCTGAGGGCACAGAAGAGGCTGCATGGGGGGGGGGTGCAGCTTTGAGGGCAGGGGCCGTCTTTTGCCTCTCTGCATCAATGGTGCCAGGCACACCATTGGTGCCTAATAAGTGTTGATGAAGAAGGTTGAGAGAAGGCAGCATAAGGGGTGGGTAAGTAGAAGGGAAGGAGAGGCCGAAGATGAGGCAGCCCCATGGGAGAACCAAGGGAGGAACGAATGATGTCTGGGAGAATTAATGACTGCAGGAACACATGAGTGAGTGAATGAATGAATGGCGCTCTCCCCGCTTCCTCCGCAGGCGCAGGGGACAGGAGGCCCCGCCTGATCTCCTACCCCCCACTTCGGGAGGGGTTCGGGGAGGCGAGTCCCGAAGCGGAGCCCGAGGCAGAGTGGTCCGAGGGGGAGGAGGAGCGCGGCCTGTTCCGGAGCCGCTCCAGCTCAGCGCCCCCTATCCTCTGGGCTGCGCGGCGTTATGGCAGCGAGTTGCGCAGGATGAGCGACGAGTTCGATTGCACCTTCAAGGTATCCGTAGAGGGCGTCCAGGTGGCCGCAGGGCACGTTGGTCGTTGTAGTCGCACAGTTCCTGGAGGCTTCCTCTCGAAAAGGAAGCTCTGGGAAGGTGGGAGGGAAAGCCGGTGGGCGGAAATGAGGAAAAAGGGCGGATGCCGGAAGTCGGGTGGGAGGTGGCACAAATGCCCGAGATGGCCAATCACGGTAACGCCTTTGCTCTTGTCACTCTGCCCTCCCACAGGGTCTTCCACGCCCGAAGAGCGCCGGCACTACGAGCCAGATGCGTCGGAGCCACGGCTGGGCCCGGACCTTCCAGTCTTGGTTCACCCGGAATTTGGGGAAAGGGGGCGCCGGTCCTTCCCACTGACCCCCACCCCTTCCCCTCTTTCCCAGGCATCTCGACCGCGAAGTAGTTTGGCGGCCATGTTGGGTAAGGGCGGAAGTGCTCTGCCGCTATTTCCGGGGCCAGGAGCAAGCGCAAAAGTTCAGGGAGTCGAAGAGCCTATGGCGTGACTGCAGTCTTTCCCGAGCCAAGCGAATTATTTGGGGAGCCAGGGCGCCGGCATCTCAACATGACAGTAGTCAGGCTTTTTCCGCCCATAGCCAACATGGTCGCCGGAAGCGGGCTGCTACTACGTTTCCAGGGCCGCCCTTACCAATCGGCTTGTGGGCGGTGCCTCATTGCGCCTGCGCCTCGGTCAGAGCCGAGATTAACCATTTCTCCCCCGGGGAGCTGCTCTTGGAGCTGACTATTAGGTTCTCCGTGTGAACGTGGCAGTAAAGACGAGATCATTTGTTGTTGTGTCTCCAGCTTCTCTTCTCCCACGCCTGGGGCTGGGCCGACCCCGGGTCATGCCCAGGCACTCGAGGCCTGTTTAGTTCAGGTCCCTGATATCCCGATCCCTGCTCCGAAGCTCAGGAACCTGCCGTGGCTCCCCATTCCTGTCCTGGCATCTTACTCCTGCTTCAAGCCCGCTTGGTTCCAGCCAGACTGGACCAGGTTCAGAATGCAGAGTCCTCTTCTGTTGGGGACCAATTTAGGTGCTGCCTCTGCTGAGAAGCCTTCTTTGATTGACCCTTCTCCCCCCTCCTTCCTCAGGTTGTCATAGTAGTCCTTTTTATGGATCTGGCCTCATCAATCCCTTGTATTTGCTTACCTGATCTATCACTTGTAGAATATAAGCCCTCTGAAGGCAGGAAGCCTGGGAGGGGTGGGGTATCTTTGCCTTCCCAGTTCATGGCTAGAATCATAAACTGATCTGTTGTCAGAAAGGCTTCATAGGATGGTGTTTCTAGAGCTGGAAGGGACCTCATGGCATCTAATGTCCAACCTTATCATCTCTCAGAGCAGCTGACTTGGACAGTTTAAGGTCACACAAGGTGGAATTTGGACCCATGTGCTCTGTCCCTCCTTGGGTAGCTAGTGCTGTTCCTGGAGTCAAAAAGACGACCCTGGACAAGTCACTTTATCCTGTGTGCCTCAGTTTCCTCATCTGTAAAATGGACTGGAGAAGGAAATGGCAAACCACTCCAGTATCTCTGCCAGGAAAACCCAAATGGGGTCACAGGGAGTCGGGCACAACTGGACCACAACAACCTCAGTGTCCCAAGCCAGTAATTGACTGCTTTGTGCCAAGCACTGAGCTAAGCCTACGGAGAAAGGCAAAACCAGCTTACTTTTTAATCCTAATTCCTAAAGAAGGTGAGACTAGACCCTTTCTGGGTTCCCTTTCAGGGATCCTATGATTCCTCTCTGGGCCTCAGTTTCTTCATTTTGTCAAAGGAGGGAGAGAGAGTAGATGGCTTCCCTGGTGCCTTCCAGCTGGGACCTTTTCCTGTTCAAGAACGGCTTTCCACTGAAGATGAGCATTGAAGGAGAGCTTGGATTTGGGCTGGGAGAGAAAGCTTTAGGGGAAGGGGAAGGGGAATGTAAGCAAGAGGGAGGGAGCCAGGAAGGGTGGTCATAACTGGGGATTGATTACCCAGAGAGAAGGGGAAGCCAGATGCTGGGAAGCTTTGAATGTCAGGAAGGTCCATGTGGACTTAACATTGAAAAGAAAGGTTTACGAGCTAGCTGGGACAGATCATCTAGTCCAGCCTCATTTTCAGATCCGGAAAGTGAGGCCCTGAGAACTGACAAGTAGCCAAGCTGAGATTATCCAACCCAAAACTATACTAGCAAACCCTGGGAGAGGGGGACAAGGAAGAAACTGGCTGGTTCCAGCAAGGAGTCCTGAAGGGCTCCGTCTGTCCATCCTGCTGATCCATGTGACCACCAAGGAGCTGGGGCAGGGACTCCTTGGCAAAGCTGTTACTTCTTTGTAATTTCCCTGTGCCTCCCTTCCTTCCCACCCCATCTCCTGTTTGCTCTGGACTTTGGCAAAAAGAGAAAGAGAGAGGACGGCTCATTGGCAGGAGATAAGAAGCTGCCTTCCTCTCCCAGCTCAGGCATTTAAGCCCTAGTGGGTGGGAAGGCAAGAGGGGGTTAGGGAGAGTTTTCAGTCAGCAGTCTGACCCAGGGGCTGTGGAAACAGGTCAACTGAGGATCCCAGGCCATCGGAGCTGGGGAGACCTGAAAGCACAGGACACAAAAGCTAGAGAAGGCCTGAGAAGGGAGAATGTCCCTACAGGGAGGGCCTTGGAGCAAGGAAATGTCAGCCTGGGAGGGACCTTAGAACATGGAATATCAGGGCTAGGAGGGATAATCTGACCCCCTACTTTTATGATAAGGGAAAGCTGAAGGCCAAAGCAGAGAATGATTCACCTGAGATTCCCACCATCCCAAAGCCTGGGTTTTTGTCAGGTCGTCCGACTTCAAATCCACCAGGCCAGGCTGCCTTCCCCTTGGGCCAGCCTTTTGGTGGCCCTTACCTTGGTCTCCTAGGGCTGGCCGAAGCTCTTCTGCTGCTGCCTAGAGCCCCAGCTGGGCCACAGGTTCACAGCCATACTGGGAGGCACGTGCTTGGGGGACAGCTCGCCAGCTTGATGCACCTTAAATAGAAAGTACACTCCAGAAATAGCTGCCCCAGGGACCCTGCCCAGCGGTGAGGCTCTCCCCAGGGTTCAGCCCTTCAGCAAAGTGATAGTGGAGTAGATTAGGCAGCTCCCCTGCACCTGCAGCCTGGGAGCTTCTGATGGCTGGGGTAGAGCAGCAGGGGTGCCGGCAAGAGCCAAGGACCCCGATTCAGGACACCTGGGCTCCAGGCCTGGTTCTGCTGCTTGCGTGTTTCCCTCCTAGCGTGTAAAACGAGGAGGCGACGGCACTAGATTTAGTAGGTTCCAAAATGGGGACCTAAGGTGCCTGGAGAGTTATCATGAGGAATCTCTGAATCCTTTGCAGACCAAATACTGTCATTGTTATCTTTACTTCTCTCTGGCTACATGCTGTGACAAACATAGGTTCTTCAGAAGTCTTTGATGTTGAGGAGGGGTACTTGTTCTTGGTCTGGAGAACCCCAGGGCTACGGTGACCTAAACATTTCACTCTTAGGACAATACCGCGAGGTCAGAGACTCATATGGACAAAAGTAAATATCACAGCCGCAGTATTTAAGGTAATGAAAAACTGGACCAAAGATGTATGACCAAAGAAGGGACAACCGGTAGGGGAGGTGAACATCCTAGAATGAAATGACACTGTGAGGAATCCAGGAAGAAGTGGAGGAAATGTCAGAGTAGGAAGAGAACAGGATTGTGCTGATGTGAGCTAAGGAAACTGCAGCCAACATGAGTCAAACATGAAGGCCAAGGTTAGAACCAGGCTCCCAACTTAAAGGGGCACATCCATCCTTTTTGTTAAAAATGGATTTGATGGGGGCAGCGAGGTGGTGCAGTGCATAGAGCACTGGCCCTGAAGTCAGGAGGACCTGAGTTCAAATTCAGCCTCAGACAAAACACTTCACATTGACTAGCTGTGTGACCTTGGGCAAGTCACTTAACCCCAATTGCCTAAAAATAATAAATGAATGAATAAATTTTTTTTAAAAATGGATTTGATGATGGGGTAGCCAGGTGGCAAAGTGGATAGAGCTCCAGCCTTGGAGTCAGGAGGACCTGAATTCAAATGTGACCTCAGCACCCCTGCTGCTATGTGACCCTGGGCAAGTCACTTAACCCCATTGCATAGCCAAAAAGCTCCCCCCCCCAAAAAAATGGATTTAACGACCATCTTTATGCTGTTGATTCTCAAATCTACCTTTCCTGCCCCAGTCTCTCTGTTGACCTCCAATGTCTCTCATCTCCGTCTGCCTTTGAAAATGTCTCCAATTGGATGCCAGTAGATAGATTAAACTCAACATGTCCAAAACAGAACTCATGGTCTTCCCCTCACCCCTACTCCTAGCTTCCCTATTACTGCACCACCATCCTCTCAGTCCCTCAGGCTCACAACCTAGGATTCCTTCTGGACCCCTTACATTCCACCATCCCCCTTATATCCAAGCTATCACCAAGGCCTATCAGTTTCACCTTTGTACCATGTCTTGTAGATTTTACCTTTGGCATATCTCTTACAGATCTCACCTTTGGCACATCTCTTGTAGATCTCACCTTTGGCACATCTCTTGTAGATCTCTTGTACATTTCATCTTTTTTAACAGCTCTAGATTTCACCTTTGTGCATCTCTCATCAATTTCACCTCTAAGATGCTCCCTTCTCCCCCCACCCCAGACATGACCACCCAGATACACACCCTCATCACCTCACACCTGGACTATTGCAACAGCTGCTTCCTGCCTCAAGTGTCTATCCTCCAGTCCATCCTTCATTCAGCCACCAAAGGGGTTTTCCTAAAAGGAAGGTCTGACCTTATCACCCCCTACTCAGTAAACTCCAGTGGCTCCCTATCACTTCCAGGAACAAACACAAAATCCTGACTTTCAAAGCCCTTCATTACCTGGCCCTCCTCAACTTTTCCTACCTTCCTCCCCAACACTACTCGAGTGACACCGACCTCCTGGCTGTTCCATGAACGGGACCCTCCATCTGGGCATTCTCTAGGCATGCCTGTCCCCCATGCCTAAGGCTGTCTGTCCCTGCTCTGCTGACCACTTACCTCCCTGGCTTCCTTTAAATCCCAACTAAAACCCCACCTTCTACAGGAAGCCTTCCCCAGTCCTTAATCCCAGTGCTTTCCCCTCTGTTATTTCCTATTTTTCCTGTCTATAGCTTATTTATACAATGTTTGCTTATTGTCTTCCCCCATTAGACTCTGAGTTCCTTGAGGGGAAAACCTTTATATCCCCAACTCTTAGCACCAGCCCTAATTCCCAGGCACTGGTTTATTGATTAATTTGGGGGGAAGAGGGTGGAATCTGGGTAGAGGATGTTTGTTGAACAATACTCTCTAAGGATGAGCCTCAGAGGTTTGGGTGAGCCATCATTCCCCAAAGGGGCTGCTCAAGTCCCTCCTGGAAAGCCCTGAATAAAGAGCATTGAATAATTAAGCAGCACTGCT